GGACAGACAACTCCGCCCTCGCAAGTAGCTCGGTCTTTTAAGAGGGGGAGTGTGTTACATCTTCGACGCCACACGGGTCCTACCGAACCCGACTTAGGGCTAGAGGGACACATCAGGGCCTAAAGGCCCGACCTTGGGGGATAACAGGCTGAAAGGCCACGACTTGGACCAGATTACGGACCAGGCCCAAACGACATTTCGTTTTGGGCATGGCAGCGCCGTTTGAGGCTGCCGCTCTCCGGTTGGACCTGAATCGTCGATCTGGACGGTTCAGCCCCAACCAAGGCCTCGCAGCATCGAGGCCGGTCATCTTCGAACCAGTACTTAGTACTGGTCCGGCCTCACTTCGAGGCCATCGACCCACTGGCACGCTACAGTGCGGTATGGTACAGCGCGAATCAGCGCTGGCGCTAAGTTCAGCGCAGGAGCAGCGAGGAGCAGCGCAGCGCAGCATTAGCGCAGCAGCAGCGAGCGGAGCAGCAGCAGCGGTGATTGGGCGTAATCGGCGGCCATAGCCGCCTGAGGTATCGGGAGTCGGAGGCTTTTCTCCTTCCTCCCATCGCCAGTCCCCTCTCTCTCTCTCTCCTCCTCGGCTCCCTTCTTCTTCTTCTTCTTCTTCTTCTTCTTCTCTTCAGACTTCATCTTCTTCTTCTTCTTCCTTTTTTTCTTCAGATTGGAGACTTATACTAGTTGGACAGAGATCAGAGTTGGACTTTGGTGGTAAGAGGCTGTGGTACTTACCGGATTCGAGACTTGGAGATTGTTGGGGATGATACTCGGCTGCATCACAGATTGGACACCGGTTACATTAGGACTCTGTATCTCCGACATTGGTGACTTATTGTCCGCGACATTTTGATCTTGTTCGAGGACATTTTGGATTACCATATCGGTGACCTGCTGGCTTCTATCTCGATGACATTTGGTGCTACCTACATCTCCCACCTCCTTCGTCTCTCCTCCCACCTCTCATCTGTGTATGTGTGTACGAGGTCTGGGCATCGTCTATGGTTGGCCCAGACCCCACCATCTCACGATTGTATGTGTGTGGAGTGATATCTATGTGAGTCAGTCTATGTGAGTCAGTCCGTTTATCAGACTTCCGCTGCATATATGCTCATCCTACATTGGTTGATCTTTGGTTCTGCCCATACTCATTGAAGTATGTAACACTGCCCTTAGGAGGCACCACAACTTCAGCCAGGATCACGAGAGCCGTTAGGCCGGGTGTCAGTCGATTCATGCAAGCAGCCAACCAAAGGAAGTCCGTGAGCTTCCAGAAGCAGGGAACAAAGGCAAGAGGGCCAACCCATAACCAACAGAAGATGTCTGAAAGGCGAACCAGCAGTATAAAAGCCCAGCAGCACCAGCCGGTGGGATCAACGATTCATGTGAAAACTGCGGAAGCGCTGTGGGTTGCTTGTGCGACATTGCGACGTTGATGGAGGAGGCACTAGAGGAGGAGCAAGTGCCCAGCAAGGAAGGAGACATCTTGTTACCATAGCCAGGGAGGAGGACGAAGACGGCCATAGCCGCAGAGGTTTGGAGGAGTACATCTCAGCTATATTCAGCTTGGATCCATGAGGGAGAGGGAGAGCATGAGTGTAACAGGGAGGTTGAGCGATACAAGACGTGAGAGAGAGGGAGAGTCACACATGAGGGAGAGGGAGAGCAATTACATACCTGATTCATACTTGGTTGGTGTGCGGCAGGTGCCGATGGAGGATACAACCAATTTCTTTGTGTGATACAATAATTCGGTGTGGATTTCAGTGAGCAACTTCGGTTTTCATCTCTTGGTTTCCGGTGTGACTTCTCACATGAATGTTGTACTGCGCGTGGTGTGTGATTGCATGCGGATTGGGAGTTCAATCATTGCACTGGTATCAGAGCTGTGTTGCAACTGCGGTCGTGGAAGAACGCCGGCAAAGCATAAGGCTGAAACGGTATTCACCTGTTAGCAGTAGCGGATGCAGGTCGCAGGGCTCGATCCCTAGTCCTCACTTTACCTTTGTACAGTATCTGTGTCGACCCCGAGTGTTTGAACCCGTGACCTGTGTTTTGAGAGTTGTTGTTGTCTGTCATAGGTCTGTGTTATGGTAGGGGTTCGATCTGTAGATCTATCAAGTAGGAGTCACAGCCCTGTAGAGGTCGTAGCTGTAGGAATCCTGAAAGGTCAAGGTCGTAGCTGCTACAGTCCTGAAAGGTCAAGGTCGTAGCTGCTACAGTACTCGAAAGGCCAAGTCCACAGACTTCCGAAAGGTCCGGAAGTGGCCTTTCGAAGCTGCCTCACGTTTTAGTCAGAGGCAAGTGGGCAAGTGGTGAGCCCAACTGCATTATGTCGGCAGTGCGACTGCATTGAGTTGGCAGTGCAAACCCATGCAGTTAGCGGTACCGGTCCAGTCAGTCCCAGTCCAGTCAAGCAAGTACCATGAGGGACTGTGTGCACCATAGGACTGGTGGAGAGGGGCAGACCAACGAGTTACAGAAGTATAAATCAAGAGGCAGCGCCCAGCCATTTATTCATTCGCTGCGTAAGCCATACGGAAGCGCTGCTACAGCGTCTTGTGGGAAGGTGGTCTGCAGGTTGCGCGAAGACGAAGTGGGCTGAAGGGAGATCGTAGCCATAGCCAGTAGTGGTAGTGCAGCCATAGTCGCTGTAGGAGGAAGTGAGATTAAGTGTGTGTGTGTGGTGGTATTCAGGGTGATCCAGAGTGAGCATGTGTGAACAGTGGGGTTGGACACTGTGACGAAGGTTGGGATGTTTAGGCGCCGATGCGCCATAGCCTGTTGAAGTGAACTTGCATCTGAACTGTGTTCTTGATTTCCGTATCTCTAAGCTTTGAGTGGGCGCCCTGCGTCGGTGCGAATCTCCATCTGTTTGCATATGTGTGAAGTGGAAGTGAAAGCGAGTCTGATTGCACCGGTATCGGAGCTGGTTCCCGTTACCCCACGCGCCATAGTCGTTGCTGATAGGGAAGGAGGCGCTCGCCAGCGAGGCGCCATAGCCGAAGTGCACCATCGGAGAAAGAAGTCCGCCATAGCTGCGTTCCAGAAGAAGGTGTCGTTTACCTGCACAGAAGGCAACGAGAGAGAGAGAGAGAGAGAGAGAGAGAGAGAGAGAGAGAGAGAGAGAGAGAGAGAGAGAGAGAGAGAGAGAGAGGGAGGGAGGGAGCTGAGTAATACAAGATGGGTTGTGTGGTCCAAGAGGAAGTGGCGGCCATAGCCG